GGCCCCTCGTTGGGCGCCGTCTCGGAAGTGGAATGCGCGGCACCGTACCGCGGGGACCCTGCTTAGAGAGTTTGCTCTCAGTCGTTGGGGTGTCGCTTAATGGTTTAGCTGAAGTTTGTAGTCGCCAACTCCGGAACCGTCCTCAGAATAGGCCGCCGGGAGCAGGGGGAGGAGGCCTTCGATTGGGTCGTGTAGCCATGGGAGTGGGGTCGCGGGAAACATAGAGGTGACGACTAAGGTTCCGCTTGCGCGCTCGCTTCCCCGGTTTTGTGCCTTTGGCGTCTCCCAAGGAGGCCTGGGGTCCCTGCATCTGTTGTTGGAGAGTTTGACTAGAAGAAATAAAATGGAGTCGCTGTAGGGAAGCTGCTAAATTAAAGTCAAGTAAAATCAAGTAGGCTGAGTTATGAGGAAATGATTCTATTGTTTTTAACTAGCCTGCAAACTGAAACTTTTGAACCTTAGAGTCCTGCGAAAATGTCTGGATATTTTCAGATATACCTGTGAAAATCCCCTGAAGAGCAAACAAAAGAATGTTCACTTACTCAGACCACCAGTCATTTAGAGGATCACCATCTAGAACCAACCCAGAGGCTAAGAATGCAGGACTGATTCCCCTCCAGAATGTACTTTTTACTATCAAACCCTCGGCTTTGCTTTTCCCGTCTGCCCAGTTGTATTCCTGGTTGAAACCTTGGGACTCTTGGGTAAATCTTTCCTTTCTAGCCAAAGCCTCCTGGTTTCATTTATGCTCAGCCCACAGGCACTAACTTGAGTAAGGAATGAAAAATTGGGAGCTGGGGCCTTTGTGGCCCAGGCCCCAACTGTGTGATTGGTGGAGCCCACTCCCCTCTGTCTTGCTTTGCGGAACCCCCCAACTCTCAGGGCTTTATGGGTGCCCCAGTCCCTGGCCCTCAGCACTTTGCCACTGTGTTTTGCACACACCGTAAAGTGAAACCAAAAAGTAAGCTCTAGTTCTGTCCTAAAGGAACTTACAAAAATACAAAAGCTATAACATGATTATAATAGTTAACATTGCTGAGTAGTTATTATGTCCTAAGTGGGGTTTTTTTTTGTTTTTTTTAAACCAACAAACACTATATTCCTTTAGTACTCAAAACACTATAAAGGCATCATCAGAATGGTTCAAAGAAAGTGTTCTAAAGAACGGTTTTTGACCCTCTGAGGTTAGGCTTTAGACAGTTGGGCAGGGGAGAAGGGTGGACAGGGTGAGAGCACAATGAGAAAAGGCAGGAAGATGAGAAAGATTGGATCAGGATTCAACAAATATCGCTTGGGTATTGTCAAAGTTCATTAAAAAAAAAAAGTAAAACCAACAAATCACTTAAGCAATAATTTAGTAAAAGTTTATTATGCACACACCAAAAAGACAGTTTGCAAACCTAGAGTCCTCGAACACATAATGAGACTCAGAGGTACATTGTTATAAAGCAGCTTATATAGTGTGGAGGCAGCGACTGTCTAATCACAGTGATTGGTCATAATATTAGAACTTTCTTGAATGAAAGAGAATTGGTTAGTGGCTACTTCATATCAATTTTGGGGAACAATTTGAGTTTTGCTTATAATTTTCAGAAGCATAAACTAAAAGTGACCCAGGTCAAGTTAGCCTTATTTGCCTTGCAAAAGAAGCTAAATTAGCTTTTCTAGAATGACTAAACTGGTTTTGCCTGCTCAGGGAATTTTCAAGTCTGGTCTCCATTTGAGGTTGATTTTAACAGTATCCAGGTGTGCCACTCTTAGTCCCTGCCCTCAAGGTACTCACAATCCAGTCTAGGAATGACTGATGAACAAATTCTTGCAATTCAAAAGTGATTACTTATTGAATCCCCTGCTGTTCAGGGGACTTAATTCTTATTACTTTAGGTAGGTAGAGTCATTTCCACTTAGATATAGGAAATCAGCACAAAATGGTTAAGTTACTTGCCCAAGGCTGCACAACTAATAAGTAGGGAAGCAAGGCTAATAAGAGAAGCTAATAAGAGAAGCTTCTGAGATTCAGGAGCTGCCCTGGCATTCACAGCTAAGCCGTGTTATCCTATTAGATAGAAATAATCTCATGAAATACCAAGTTCAAACAAGGGCATTCTGAAAACATGATAAGATAAGACAAAGCAAAGCACTCCATAAGTTTGCCTAAGCACAGACAAAAACAAAATCACGCTGCCAACCATAAAATACCAAACAACCATTTTCTTGGCCAATATGAGTGATTAATACCCCTTTACTATTACAGCTTTATTCTCTTCTTAGTCTTCTCTCCCTACAGATAAGATTTATTAAGATGCCCAATCATAGGGTTGCCCCAGCTTTCTGACAGCATCCAGTCAAGAGCAAATCCCTTCTTTGGCCTCTCCCTCAAGTCACCAACCAAAGTCCAAATCCTATAATAGCTTCTTTCTGAACACCTATTGAGATAGCCTGTGGTTCCCCATGGGGTGTGTTCTTTCTCGCTGCAACAAGTAAAAAGTACAACTCAGTTTACTACCGGCGGCTTCCTGGAAGTCTCCAGCTGGAGGGCATTGTCACTTGAGAACGTTTGATTTCTTGAAGATTCAATTAAAACTCCAAAACTGTCAGGATCTGGTGACTTTGAGGGAACAGATCTTTTACAATTAATGTTCTCATTCAAGCATTTCTTGGGAACTGTACATGTTTTTCTGAATCTGAAGAAAAATCACCCAAGAAATCAGGAAGACTAGAGAAAGTATTACCATTCTGCTTGAATTAAAGTTTAACAATCAACATTGAGGGGTTACAATTCAAATGGATCCACTAACAAATTGAAAGCAATAGCAGGAAATGCTAACCCTTGGAGTCCAAAGCGAGCCAGGGAAAAGAGCAGGCAGGAGAAAATCAGGCAAGTTTTCACCAGTCTCCCTTGTAGTGGCTGCTAGGTTGTGTGTATGTTCAGGGCCCCATCTGCTGCTAACAGTGAGTCATTCCTGCAAATAAAACCAAATTATATGTGTAGTATACTTTATACAAATTCTATGAGTGATGTTCTGAGAAATAAGTTTTGGAGGCAAAATAAGTCCTTAAACTAGCGATTTCTTTAAGTGATTCTGCGTAGTGCTGTTCAACTTTGCTGAGAGATCCGAATGTTAGGATATTAGACTACTTCCTACTCAGCAATGTTTGCTGGCATTTCCCAATGGTTATGTTCATGATAGGCTATAGTTCTTTGTTAGTGTTTTAACAGAGAAGTGCAAAGAGAAGAAGCTGTGAATGGTTTTGTGAAATACTCCAACATGACATCCTGAACTAACCTGAGATCTGGATGAACAAAAGTCAGACCTTTTTCAGTGGCAAAACCAAAGTTTGGGCAAGCAGAAAAAATATTTTCATTCAAAAGTAACTGGACTGGCCCTGGCCAGTTTGACTCAGTGGTTGCAGTGTCGGCCCACAGACTGAAGGGTCTGGGGTTTGATTCTGGTCAGGGGCACATTCCTCGGTTGCAGGCTGGATCCCAGGTCCCACTCTGGGGCTCCTACAGGAGGCAACCAGTCGCTGTGTCCCTCTCGAATCAGTGTTTCTTTCTCTCTCTCTCTCCTGCCCTTCCACTCTCTCTGAAAGGCAATGGAAAAAATATCCTTGAATAATTATAAAAATAAAAGTAACTGGATTGGATTTAGTATGGTTCTGGTTTTGTAAATTATTGACATTTTTTACATTACTACAAACATATTCATTAATTTATCAAAACTATGTTAATTCCTAATGTTTCATACAGGGTGCTAAGCTGTAAGGATAAGAGTATGAAGATTATTCTTCCTTTCTCCCTCTGTTCCAGCCACTTGGGCCTCCTTATGGTCCTAAACACCAGGCACAATCCAGCACATTCCCGTTTTAGTGCCTTTTCACTTGCTAGTCCCTCTTTCTGGAACACCCTATCCCAGATATATACATGGTTTGTCCTCAGCTCCTTCAGGTCTTTGCTCAAATGCCACATTAGTCAAATCGTCTTTGACCGCCCTATTAAAAGTTACAACCTCATTCTCACTAATGCTCTCTATCCCACTTCTTTAGTGCTTACCTCCACCTGACTTACAATATATTTTACTCATTTATTATGTCATTTTTATATAAGTTCCACGAAGGCAGGGATTTTTGTCTGTTTCCATCATTGCTGTAGCCCCCAGACCTGACACATAGCTAAATCTTTATTGAATCAATAAATGGGTGAATGTATAAGAGACACAGACATAATTCCTTAAGGGCTTACAACTAGAAAATGGATAAGGGCAATAAAATACTGCACGTGATGGGAAAAGGCACACCAGGCAAAAGGAGTAGGTGGGCGAAGGCACAGTGGTATAGAGAGCAGGGAATAT